CGTCCCGGAGAGGCGCGGCCGGCGGCCGTGGCCATGGCGGATGTCGGAGTGGCCCCGCCCGCGCCGCCTGCAGGATTAACCTTCCGGACTGACCCACCGCGCACGCGCATGCACACGTGTGTGCGCGCACACACACGGCCTGTCTGTGCGTGGCTCAGTACCTCGGTGGGGTTGAAGCTGCTGAGCACAGGTGATGCTGTTGGCGGGTGTTCCCAGCTCGGGAGAGGCCCCCACAGCCCCCCCACTGTCTCCTGCCCCCCACTGCCCTTCTGCCCCCCACTACCCCCTGTCCCCCACTGCCCCCTGCCCTCCTGCCCCCCTCCCTGCTGCCCGTGACCTGTGGCCTTGGCACCGGGGGCTGGTCTGCTGAGACCAGGCCCGCGTGCCCTGGGCCTCCACAGACTGGGGACCTGCCTCTCTTTGTCCCTCTGCTAACAGCCGGGTCACCCCGCCTTAGGCTCCAGTTGTGGCCTTCAGACCTCGGTGGAAGAGTGTTCTCTTCCTTACCCACTCCGGGGCAGCCTTGGACTAAGCCAAGCATTGTCCCTGTGGTTCCATTCCAAGAGAGGCTGGGGACTGGGTTCCTTTGGGGGGGAGGGGAGCAACTCCCCTAATTCCAGATCTCCATCCCGACAGCCAGGCCAGCAGCCGTGGAGGCACTGGCAGCTGGAACTGTCCCGGCCTGGCGTCAGTAGCTCACCCCGGACGCCCTTGGAGGGGACTGTCCCTCAGCCCCTGATCAGGGGCGTGGATGGACTCGGGGCCGGACGCTGTCCCTCAGCCCCTGGTTGGGGATGGACTCAGGGCTAGACACTGTCCCTCAGCCCCTGATCAGGGGCATGGATGGACTCGGGGTCGGGCGCTGTCCCTCAGCCCCTGGTCGGGGATGGACTCGGGGCCAGGCACTGTCCCTCAGCCCCTGGTTGGGGATGGACTTGGGGCCGGGCGCTGTCCCTCAGCCCCTGGTCGGGGATGGACTCGGGGCCGGGTGCTGTCCCTCAGCCCCTGGTCGGGCGTGGTCTGGGCCAGGCGCTGTCCCTCAGCCCCTCTCTGCCCAAGGCAGGCGCTCTGCATGATGGGTGTTTTCTGATCAACTGGAGATAAGAGTGCGGAGGACTTTCCTGCCTGGGCTGGCTTCGAACTGCGATCCTCAGATCTCAGGGTCAGTGACAATGGATGTGATCTCTGTCCGTCCGTGCCCATGGCCCGCACCAGGAACCTCCTTCACCCCGCCGGCGCGGGCGGCTCGCCGAGGCCAGAAGGGGCTGTGGGGACCCCGGCCGACGCCCCGAGCGCAGCAGGCGCCCACG